GACATCATACCTACTGCTATACTGCTATAATTGACTATATTATGTATATTTTTTTTATTTTTCATAATATTTACACAATAATGGGCAGCAATAATAGCTATAATAATTAGGGCGTTATATCAACAGCATAATTTGGCCTAACAGAAAAGCTATTAAGCTTGAAACTGTTTACTGCACATTTGTAGCAAGAGACGCCGGTGGTCAATCGCATAGTGATTTTCTATTAACTATACTATCAAGTGACGCTTAAAAGTAAAGGTTAAGGCGCGTATATTATGGTAGCCATTCAATGCAGGTATCTTTAGCTGATGATAAAATAAGCCCTCATTAGTACTGCTGTACATATGATGAATATTACATTATTTAATAACTTCAAACACTATTTTTTACAACAAAAAAAGTTTAATATAATATAAATGTAAACTAATAAATATAAGTGCTTGAACTGGAAAAAATAAAAGGGAGATTTAAAAATGTAAAAATAAATGTGCATACTTGAAGATTTAATCGCTTTATTGGTTAGGATAAAATTAAAAAGGGTAATTACATTAAAATCTCTATTCAATAACTGAAGGTTTATTACTATTTATCTCTATACGCATTTCAGATACAGATGCAAAATAACTGTACATTTTCACACGAAAAACGTGCGTAATAATTTTTGGTAGACAAAAAATGATTTACGATTTCTACAGTACTTATGTCCAAAATAAAAGTGTTTATAATATATTTAGTTTCTGAAATTTAATGTTAACGACTATAATAAATATTAATTTGCTTGTCATTGATTGATTTAAGATTTTTTTTATATAATTATAGGAAAAACAGTAGCTATAAGCAAAGGACTATTAGTGAACGTAACATTGCTACTTTAATCGTGATCCTGTCTTACAGTAGTTATAACTAGGATAGAATAGTCATTATTCATTATGAGTAAAGGTACAATTATAAATTATTTTTTTTTTTTTAAATCGTGATTTGTAATGGGTTATTGAAACCGAATAAATAATATATTAAAAATATTTCCAAAAATGTAATACATTTCCAAAAATTAGTGTTTGAATTTAAAAGGATCGTCTTGTATTGTACAGATAAAACTTCAATTTTTGGTTAAGTATATTGGACTAAAGTTATAAGTATAAAAATTTTAAAAATTAATCAAACTCTTCTATACATAAACTTATATTTTTATATGTTTCTATTGAAGATAAATCATATTTTTCTTTGATTAAAATAAAAACTGTTAGATGTAATAACAATTACAAATTGAAAAATATTGATAATAATATCAGTAGATAACTGATGATTACTATATATTTATTATATAAACTGGGCGATTGTTTAATCCAACAATACTCATTATTTCAAAATTTATTTACATATTTTAAAAAATATTTTTTCATAATTTCTTGCCAAAGTCACACAAAATTATAATATTCTTCAATTTTTTACCGTGAATTTTTAAATGTTTTACTTATACTGAATGACAGTAATTCAACATACATTTTTTTTTACTTGATATTTCAAAATAGAATATTTTTTTACATATTTTAATGTATCTATTTTAATTGAATTTCAAACGAAATTAACATGTATCTAATTGTATCTTTGCTCACAATTACTATTCTATCCTAGCCATAACTATTGTTTTATATGATCAAAATTAATGGCTACACAATAATTTTGTCCCGAAATAAAAATATTAATAAGCGGGTACACAAAATTGTGTCCGTCTGAATCTAAATGACTACATGATTTGCGCCCGGCCATATTTAAACTACTACATGATTTGCGTCCGGTTTTATTTAAACGACTATACGAACGCACTTATAGCAGATAATAATTTTAGTTTAGTTTAGGTTGTATTTTTGGTGTAATCTTTTAGGTAATGTTCGTGTAATCTTTGTTGAATAACACTTAAACTCTAAAAAACACTATAAAACGACTTCAGTGATTTAAAGGGAAAAAAATAAAACATTATTTAATATTGATGGATACACATTTTTTTGTCGTAAAAGATATCCTTTAACCAGTTTTTAAACTTTTAAATTCAATATTTATAAATTGTTATTATTGTTTATTTTAATTATTATATTACATTCCTATAATTTAAACTTACACATTTTCATTTTACTTACTTATAATTACATAAAAACGATAAAAATCAATATTTTAACCTACTTATAGTCATAATTTGCTATCGAAAATCCTAAGTTTGTATAAAATGGGAAGGAAAATAATGTTTTTACATTGGGACACAATTCACGTGGAAAAAGGATTTTGGGACGCAATTTGTGTGCAGCGCGATTAATATAGCAATGTTACGTTCACTAATATTGTTATGTTCTCAACTACTATTTTGCCTATGACTTTTTTACAATTATCCAGAGTTTAGAAAACATTTGGAAATGATAATAATATTTCTAAACATTCCAAAATTTTTTACAAATACCAAAATAATAATTTATTTTAAATATTTCAAAAATATTACCTATCATTTCTCAAATGCCATCTGGGTTACTGGATAGTATCTTCTTCACGATTACTGAAATTTTGCTAATAATAAGTGTCTTACTCACGATTTATATCTTATTATCCTCAACTACTATCTTTTTCTCGTGACTACCTACTATCGTACTTATAGTCATGCGTATTACAAATTATAAAAAGAAAATAATTTTAAATTAATCAATAATAAGTAAGTTAATATTGATTACAATCGTTAACATCAATTTTTTTTTTTATTATTATTTAAATGTTTTACTTTTATATTATCAAGCATAATACTTTTCAAAATATTTTAATAGATAAAAATCGAAAAACTCCAAAAAATATTCTGCTTCAGAAATTGAAATTAAAAATATATGTTGTCATTCAAAAATGTAAAAATAAAAATAAAAAAATATAACAATAAAAATGTATACATTGTTTATTTTTGAGTAGAAATTATGAAAAATTGTTTTCAAAAATGTTAATACACTTTAAAATAATGAGTTCAATAAAAAAATAATTCGTTATAAAAAAATTTTTTTTAATAAATCATTAATTAATGTGTAAAAAAAAAAAATTAATGTTTTTAGAAATTTTAGGAAAATAGTTGTAATGATTCATCGATAATAAAATAAAAATTCTTCATAGTTTATACCTTTTGAAAAGAATAAATATAACAAATATTAATAAATTAACTAAACGATAACATATAAAATAATAATATGAATTTTATCTGTAATGTTTGATACATTTGACTTATCTATATGAAAAGTTTTACTTGTAAAATTGTATGACAATGTGGTGTATTTTTATGTTTTTATTCTATGAAAATTATAAGTATACTTTGTTAAATTAATGACTAATTTATTAAAGGAAAAAAAATGAATAAAAACAAGTGAGTAAAATATATAATTTTAATATCTACAAGTGTAGTGTGTAATTAATTATAATAATATACATTTTTTTTTTTTTTTAATTAATTATATTTTTTATTTTTATAAGGTGTATGCAAAAAAAAATACAAGCATACTTATTAAACAACTTAACTGCATAAATGCTAACTGACAAAAATTAATATAAAATATACAATTGTAATAAAAATATAATATTTAATAATCGACCAAATACATACAATATTTACAAAAATATTTGATTACATACATAATATTATTATCGATCAACTAATTATTTATATAGTAATAAGCAGGGCTCGCGACCTATGCAAATTAATTTTATCTTTTGATTTCATCTGAAATTATGCCGATAAAGTAATAATCAATATAATCAATAGAGTAAGACTCCACATTTCACATTTCATTTTTTTGAATTTCATTTGTACAATAGTCATTTTTTAAATTAAAAATAAAGACATATTTTGATATTTTAATATGCGCATATTTTTATGATCTTAAGTGCTTAAAGTCACGAGTCCTTGTAATAAGTATTATATTTATTCATAAAATAATTTTTAGAGGTATTTAAACATTTTAAATTTAAAACTAGAATTGTTTTTACTTACCTGTATAACACAAATTATAACCATGATATGATAAACCATATACATACATATGCGGTCATATAGGTTTGTACTAATCCGTAGATAATATTTTTATTTCATAACCTTTTTTATTTACTAATGCAGAGGTTCCCAATCTTTTTATGACACGATCTATTTTGAAAATTATTTAAATTTTGGCCGACCATCTGATGACCTTTTTTTTTTTTTTACTTTTTCGATTTTAATGATCATATTATGTCTAAAAAAATGTATTATTTAAAAATACAACGCGACCCGTGACTCACTAAAAATATGATCGCGACTCATAGTTTGGAAACCTCTATATTATTGGGTTCCAGAGATTTCGAATATATTAAATCTACTGATTAAATAATATTATTGTGAAACAGACAACAGATAACAAAATATATTCAGAATCGACGTCTTTGAATCTTTCAATGATGTAACGCATGATTACCAAAAATTATGATAACTGATTCTATAGTTCATGATTTTTGTGACTGTACCTATTAAGCTGATCCACATATTGATAAAAATGAAATTATTCCATAGAAAATACAGGAATAAAGGCGAAGTAAATTTTTGATTTTAAACTGAAAAAGTACACTTCTAAGTATTTGAATATATTTTAAATTCAATTTAAAATGTATCTCCAAATCAAAATTTAAAAATTAACACTAATAAAATTATTATGTTTTTGAACATTTTCTAAGTTGAACGGAAAAAGTCTCGATTATAATATCGCATCATAATTTATACTATACAATCATACATACATTGCAACGTTGCATGAAGCTATAAGAGATGATTATCGAGGAGTGTTAGTATGTTCTATCTACGCATACAGTATATACACTATTATATTTATTTATATTTTATTTTAATCGTCGGCATGCGATATAGGTATAGGTAAGTAGGTACACACTAAGTACAGTAATAATAACAATATATTTAATATACACAATAATTCTAATAATTAAAACGATTTATATTTATAAGCAAGTATACATTTTTTATAAAGTGTTTTCTATTTATATTTATACGGACTATACATATTATTACTACCGCATTCAATTCACATTATACTATGAATGCGTTTATGTGCATCACGAACATTCGCAGGTGTATATATATATGTACATATCGTATTATTAAACGTACGCGCGAACGCGGATTGCGCCGTACGGGCCCCGCCGAAATGGCCGATGCAAAATGCAGCTGCACAGCCGACGTTCGCCGACGCAATAACATGAAATTATTACCGGAAGATCGATGACGCGCCGTCGACGGACATCACGGGGAAAACACCTCGTCGGTGCGCCACCGCGCTCACCGCCGTCGCGCGTATCCGGTCGGATACGCCTGCAGCGGCTGCACCGGCTGACGGGACGACGGTCGCTGCGACCCGCCGTACTGCAAGTAACCGGACGCGGGCGCGCTGTTCCGCTGCTGCTGCTGTTCGTACAGGATGTCCCTGATCGCCTGCTGTTCGCGGCGCTCCTCCTGTCTGCCGTCCACGCCCAGGCCGATTCGCTCGATCAGCCTCTCAGACTTGTCGCCGTGCAGCGCGATGAACTCGTGCGCCCGGCGGCCGCTCACGTTCGGGTCGAACGGCCACGACTGTTGCCTGTGGAAGTCGGCCGCGCCCAGCACGTTGTTCTGGATGAGCCCGATGATCCCTCCGTGGACCGCCTGCAGCATCACTGCGGCGGCAAACGCCTGCGGTTCAACACAACGACATCAGCGATGGTGACAACGCATCGATACAATCAACAATTAAAACAACGGTAATAGCGACAGGGTGACGGGTGCACCACATGCGCGTGCAACGGCCATGCGGAAATGGTAAACTGCAGCAGTGCAGGTCGCGCCGCGGGACGACTTGCCAGCAATGATTTCGGTCGGTTAACCGGGAAACGGGGTCGTTGTTCAGTTGGACGAGAGGCCCGAATTAAAAAAGGCATGCACATTCGTTATTGTACGCGTCGCGTTAAAAAGAAACACTTGATTTGGCTTTGTACTCGTAAAAAAAATGTACATAATTATGTAACATTGTTTATTCATGTGTTTCATGCGTATATGTACGTATTGTCATATCCGTAAAAGACAAAAACGCGAAAATCAATAAAAATAGAGGTTTTTCAACGACACTAATGCTTTTCGATGTGATGCGTCGAAGGAGTAGTCGGAATACGTATGCGACAAAACGGGGAAAACGGACTAAAAAGTGTGAAAATAATATGCCTCTAAAAATCACGCATTAAAGTAACATAGAAATCTGTTTTTAAATGACTGAAGTTTTATTTCGGATATCTTCAGAGTTTATTAGATCGTTTTTAAAAACGCGGTTGCATACGTATTTAAATGTTTTTTTTTTTTTTGAGCGCGAACTTACTAGCTTTTGTGATCAGGCATACGATAACCACATGTCACGGCCAAGACTTGAGGTAATTGGGGTGTACGCAGAATGGGAATCACATTTTCTTTTAATAGTTGCGTTTCGCCTGTCTCGAAAAATCTCAAAAAATGGGAAGGTCTTTTTTAATTTTACAATTATCCAATTATACCTTATTTTTTCCTTTTTTTACTTGAAAATTATGAAAAAAATCTATACCATCATGAAACACTATCAACAATTATCCGCAAACCACGAACAATTCAATTCGTAATTTATACGATTTATAGCTATTAGTAAACATTTATTATTTAATAATATATCTATCTTGTTTACAAAAACGTTAATAATTTTCAAGATAATGAGTATTTTAGTAAATAGAAGTTTTGTAAAAATAATTTATTTGTATACATTAAACGTGATTATGTTTAATTGTGTACAATCTGTCCAAAATATAATAAAGTAAAGCTCTAACTGTATCTGAGCAGTGCGCATAGAGATTAAAACAGTATACAGAGTTATGACGCATAGGTTTTTAATGGCTGTAGATTAATAGATATATGGAATTTTGAAAAACGAAAAATACGTGTTTTTTTAATATAATATATAAAGTTATGTAAAAACAAAAAAAAGTTAAGAAAATTTGTTTCGCTCTAGCAATTAAAATATACTCCAATTCTTTTAATTACAACTATTAATGAATTCACTAAACTTTAGAGAACCGAAGTTAATAAACAAATAAACTAAAATTGATTATTTAACCATTAAAATTTCCTAAAAAAACACTTACCGGAATTCATAAATAATTATAGTTGTTACCGTTTAAAAAAATCCAGTTAATTTTTCTAAAAAAAAAATTACCAGTTAAAACTTAAAAATAAAGAAATTCGTTTTTTATCGTCTTTTCGAAATTTCATATTATCGATAAATAACCATTAGATAAACCATCACATATATGATGACATACGTCCTGTTGACAATATTACATTGCATATTATACTGTCCTTTTAGTCTCGTGCTCAAAATCAGTTCAATATTATCATCCTATTCAACAGTTTTCAAAAGATATTTCCTACGATAATTAAACGTCACTTCACACACCACATAATTATTATCATTTCCGGTTGTTCACGTGCGTACATATATTAATCAACTGTAGAATTAACGGCTGCAGAGTTTGTACATTTACCAAATACGATTTATGTATAAATTCTACATATAGCACAAGTAACTGTTTATTTTTCATAAAATACTATTAACTAACTAAATATATGTAATAAGTAATACTTTTGTCCTGTTCAATATTTTAAGTTTTTTTTTTTTTAATTTATCAATACATGTAAATATATATTGGTTTGAACAATAGTTGTTTGTTATTACATAGTAAGTTAATAACATTTATCAGTTCGTTCTGTTGAACTCTTAACGTATAATGTCAATAATAACTAATCAATAGAAATACATTAATCCACATTGCAACAAACCACCTCATTTTACAGCGTACACCAAATTATGAATTAATAAATTATTGTCTAAATGGACAATATATGTAATCTATATTTATAGGATTGATCAACATGCATGCTTAATGCTTATCAATTTTTTGTCGTTTAATAAAGCTAATATATCAATTTTACAATAAATTAATTTTTTTTTTTTTGATCTTAAAAATTTTGAGTAAACTAACTTACCATACATATTTTTAAACACTTGGGTATAGAGTTTTATACCATTTAAGGAGTATATTGAATCCTGCGATTATATTGAATTCTTTTTATCAAATGAAAATCATCCATTTTTCAGTAAACTGTTTAGTCGGAAATTTTTTTTTATTTTTTAAAATATTATTGCAATTAAATTAAAACTTGAACGAGTAGATATAATGGTACAAAATAAAATCTGAGTATTTGTAAATAATAGGGTCTTGACTACCAACTTAAAAATGTCAAAGATTGCTATTTAAAATTTAAATAGATGAATAATTTAAACAAAAATAAATAAAGGAAGCAGAATAATTGAGAATAATTGTGTTAGGTGAATCGTCCAGTATATTAGTATGTAGGTACTATATAGGTAACAATATAGCATAATTGTATTCATGACAATATTCAAAAATTAACCAATGATATACACTGTTTATGGAATGGTTTTAAGTAATAATTTAAAAAAAAATTTACACAAAAAATTAACTTAGTTTTGAAATATTCATTTAATTTCATCCAATTTATGCGATTTGTAAACCCTCAATAATAATTGACGTATTTTAAATCAAATCAACACATCACAAAAATCGTGTAATATTATGAAACAATCACATCTTTTTTAAAGAATTTACAGTCTACATAACATTAAAATAGATTTTTCTATGTTTATATGAAGTAAATAACAGAATGTACTTGAGTATCAAATATTTTTTATATAATATGTATCTATACTATCATATGTGTGAGTAATGAGTATATTAAAATAATTAAAATAATAATAGTAGAATTATTTTTATATAAACATTCCAAATACCATAATGTAATAGTAAGTAAAAAACTATAATTTATAGTTTTTATTTTTAATTTTAATTTTTATAACTTACGTGTGTACACGCTATTATTATTTTATCAAAAACGTATAGGTTGGTATATTAATTTTGGTCGCTTTTATTTATATATTTTCAGATATTATATTATGCTTAAAAATCATAACGGTGGTCTTAATATTATTGGTATATCATACTACATTTATTGTGGTTTCTTGATTTCTTTTATTAAAATCGGGAGTTTTTTATTCACATACGCAATATGCATTCATTAATTTTTAAACTGGTCACCGAATATTACATTAGAGTCGGTGTTATCTTCATGTCATCAGATTTCCTATTCCATTGCGTTAAGAAATATTGAATTCTTACAATGAAAATTATACACACGTGTGTTTATTTAAATTGGTGGGTAGAGACGTGCATGCAAATGGGAGAACATTGACCTAAGATTTTTTGAAAATTATACTAAAAAACAAAAAGTGTAAGCAGTAGTTAGTTTTTTTTTTTTTTTTGAACCTGTTATGGCGTAATATCAATATCGTTGATAAAAAAAAAACCGGTTGTTTCAGGTTGTAATTGAATTATTTTGGAGTTCATGGATGTTTTCGAAAAACTTGTACGCGAAAATAAAATCTATCATTTTCTTTTAAGCCGTAATCTATGTATAACATGTTATTTTTCAGATATTTTTTGCGATTGAGTATATAAAAACAATTGTTAAGTTATATCATGCCAACAGCAATAAAAGGGGGCAGTAAATTACCAGATGGTGACAAAACTAAAATCGTTTAATTTATTTATTTCCTATCAATACGAGTATACGTTTAAAACTACTTTTTAGAAGTTACATGTTTAATAGGAAATCGGTAATTTATTTTAAGACAAGTAACTAAAAATAAGATACATTTATTAATTACTAATCTGCATCAAAATTTAAAAGAAATTAAATTATAATTTTATAAATATATTGTTAATTATAGTATAGATTTATGAATTATATATTAATGTGCATACTTGCCTCCTTTTGTAGCCTATATTTTAAATCTTGAATAATTTTATTTTAATTTTTAACGGAAATTTGTGAATACCTAATTTGATTTTTAAAATATTTATACATAGAATGACCTCTAAAAATATAATTCAGTAATGTAAGAATTACATTAAACCAGATTTCAAGAACATTATTTTAAAAACGTTATTGGTAGTTACAAATACGATGAATCATCCTGTATTTTATGTGTATTTTGTATTAATATATTACTAATGAACTATGTTTAATTATAATTTACATTCAATTCATGGGAATCACAGTTGAAATACCGACCTTCAACATTTTTGTATTATATACGTACATTGGTAAATTCTTTTATAAGCATTAAATTATTATATCATTTAGTGCTAAATATTTAACATACTGTTTATAATTAAAACATTTATATTATATAATGTAGTATTAATATTTTTTTCTCAATTTTTCGAAATTATAAAATTAGTTATGTTAAATTCTAAAGCATTATTCACAACAGACTCATGCATTAATTGAAGTCAATCATTATTTGACATTAAACATATTAAATAGAATAATAAATTATGACATATTATACTTAATAATAATTAATATCGATTTTACCTAAAAAAATATTAAGATATTTAAAACGGTTGTTATATTATTATACTAATTCCAGCGAAAATGAATGAAATAGTTCTCATAAATACCTACTAAAATTTAAAAGATTAAATACGAACTCGTTAATGTAAACTGTGTCATAATAATATTTTATAAATAATTAAGAGTTACTTAATACTTTCTATTTTACGACAACATTTTGATCGACATTATGGTTTAGATGTTAAGAATATTTGATTTGTAGGTGTGTGGGTAGTGAGCACTTAATCATAGGTACCTATTGTACGATATTCAATTCTTAAAACAATTTAATTTTCTGAAGTATCTTAGACATTTAAACATTCAGTGTTTTTCAGAATCGTTAGATTGAATAGACTGATATACTATGGAAGTGATTGTTGGCAATTATTGAAATAACATATTTTACTTCTAAGATGAGTACGATTTAAAATGTAATTTTTTGAAATATGAATTATAAATTACATTTGTCTTATGCATTTTATAATTATACCCTTAAATTTAGTTATAATTTTATAAATAATTTACATTTTTCAATATTAACGAAGAATTTATGGTAATGATTTACAGTGATAGTCCTATGCGCAAATGTCCAATTTTATAATAATTCAATCTAATAGCAATGTGTGATCGTTCTTTTCAACAGAACGTGTAAACGACTTGCACAAGTGTTCGAATGTATCTGTTTAAAGTCATAAGTGCATAAGACGCGTAAAATAGTCGGTGTAAAAAGAATAAAAAATTCATATAAGTTTGTAAAAAGTGCATGCGTCGTGCATTATTTACACCCGTAAAATGTGTGGCATTGATCGCGTTTTTGAGAAAAGATACGAAAAAATTAGTTTCTTATAAGTTATAAACGGTTATGGGCGAATTAAAAGTGGAAAAAAATAGCTCTCTAAATAACCGTGTATCACACTCACCGTCAGCAGAAGCTTGGTTGGGTCCATCGGAGACGCAGCGGCGGCATGCATGATGATAATATGCGGGTCTTAAGTCGACTGCCCGCACGTGTTACACTGATACGAACACACAAGAAAATAATACTACGACGATCTAAAATATTGTGTACGAGATAGTGATCGAGAAGAGGGCGCTCATTCGTAATAACATGGATGGCCGCGCGAATGTGAGCCAGTGGGTCAAGTTGTGGCGACGGCATCGATAGTGGTCGATCAGAGAGAGAGAGAGAGTAAGTGAGATAAAACTATAATAATGACGATAATAATAATAATATTAATATATTACACTCTCACGGCGACGAAGTTGCGACACGACTATATAACACACATGCACGAAGACCAACCATGTATAATATTATCTAAAGTTATGCAATTATTGTTGTTTTATTTTTTGTGCTTCGCGTACATATAGGTATGCGCGTTCGTATTATATTATACTGTTTAGTAATATTTTTGGTATCCTCATTCGCCATCGAAGTCACAGTCGAATGCGCTTATAGGCGTAATCTATAACTATTGGTTTTCTGTGTTTGTGTGGGGCGTCATTCATTTAGGCGAATAGCCCAAAATTTACCTGGGTAGAGCATATTTCATTTGAGCGTAAAATTAACCAATCGTTTAGACGAATTTATAAATTATTGAATAATAGGGAAGTAACATACCTACCTATACAATAACTTTAATTTATGTATTTATTATAACTAAATATTATTAATATATCGTTTCAGCTGATTGGTGATAACTATTTTAAAGTGTCAAGACCAATTTACAAATATACCTACATTAAAATTATGGGAAGAATATCAAAACGAAAAACTAACAATAATAGATTATAATATTAAACAATAAATGGGTATGAGATACCATACTAATAAAAAAATGTAATTAAGTTAGTTAATAGAATATAATAAATTGTATGACAAAATAATACATTTTTAAGTTTTTAAATATACCAGTTAGAGTTAACTGAGAGTCTTAAACTCTTAAGTCTCTAAAAATAGGAAGGAAAACTTATATTCACTGAAATGATGTGTATAAATTCTTCCAAACAATATGTTATTTTGGGTTATTCGCCCAAATGAAAGCTGACCTTTGTGTATGTGTGCATATGTATGAGTGAAGGAAGGAGAGGCAAAGGCATGCGTGTATAATGTTAATGTATCGTTCGAAAAAAAAGATTTATCGTAGACCCGTGTATGAGTTGACAACCAAAAAATAAGTAAGTCTCATCGTGAATTCTTTTAGTGTAAGTATATGAAACTATGTTCTCGATGTTATCGATCGTCAAGCTTTTAAATATATATTTTGTAAGTACCATATTATTGTTTTAAAAGGAAAACTACATATAGATGGATTTATTAGTTAGACCACGAATGTTCGTATAAAGATATAATAACTTCAATATTCCCAAATGCATAATGCACGTGTGATGCATTCAATATTATCCGATTCGATTTTACACACTATTTCAGAGGTAGATAATATATGTTTAAAATATTGTTGTAAAAAAACCGATAATCATAACAATTTTGATTTAATTAATTAATTTTAAGTCGATACTCGATAGTATGATCGTAAAATTTTTTCCGACACAATAATCGCATGTATTTTATTTTAAAACATTTTTTCATTGTATACTTATAAATTATTGTATCCCTATACTTATTGTTAACATAAAATCAGTAAAGAAAAATATGTATAAATTTATAATGCATGATCCTGCTCTACAAAGAATTCAAACTATTAAATGTTTACTATATTGCATATAGTACTATATAGAGTACCTATAGTTAATTCGTACATCAATATGTGAAATTGTCAAGTGCAGCTAAAGGAATGGACCGTCATACTAGTGATCATCACATAATTATCGTTTGTGTGCGCTGTCAGAGTGTCAGACCATATCGTAATAGTAACTATGTTAAGTCAAACGTTATATCATGGTAAGTAAACAAAAAAATGAATTTATTTTTGGCCTATTAATTTACAAAAGTTACTATATAATATGATAATATTATAAATTATATAGTATTTTTAATTTTTAATTACTTTTAGTTTTACACAAAAACAATGTATAGGTGTCCAATACATATATTTCATTATACATAATAATATACTAATAACCTCTTTATATTCAAAACACGTGAAATATAATCCATTAATACGTAAACTTGTCTATTATATGCAATGCTTTTTAATCCTTTGCAGTATGTGACGTTAGATAATAGTTTTCTGAATTATACGTCTATACAGAATGATTCTCTTAATAGAAAACACTTATTATTTTAAAAAGTATACTGATTATAATAATATTTGATTATAGGTTTAGTTAATTCCAAAATAATTTATTATTTTAAATATTTTAAGTAGCGTACACTTTTGATATTTAATATTGCTCTATTTCTCCCCTCTACTACCTCTGTCGTTGAAATCATGATTATCCACTTTTGATTTTTAAATTACAACCTACAACTTTTATTTCATAATATTAAGTAATTGGATATTTCAAATACTAGTAGAAAAATGTATAAATTAGGCCAGTATCTTAGTATAATTAATTATTCCTATCCAATATAATGGTGGAATGAAGTTTCTATATCTTAAATTTTCCCAAAATATAAAAAAAAATAATTTTTTTCTAGACTATAAGTGTTTTTGTAATGAAAATAACTAATATGATATTGTAATATTGTACTTATATTAACATTATATATAGGGCATTTCATCGCAATGAAAAAAAAAAAAAACTATCAGTCATCGTGTCAACGAATTTTTCCTAAATAATATTTTTAAAATATGACTGTCAAAAGTTAAATAGATATTACCTATTACCTACTTTTATTTTTTTGTTCACTTAATCTAAAAATAAAAAATAATGGTAACGTCCAAAAAACTGGAATTTACTCGGTACGTGAAGTAAAAGCGGCATTTCTATTTATGTAAATATTTCTTATTGTTTTCTATTACTGATCGACGTTGAATATCCGGTCAGTGGCAAACGGAAATATGTTTAAGTCATTTAACATTTAGGAAAGTGAGAGCCTTTCATATATTACGTTGGGCATAGAATAAACGGGTCTCTCAGCGATCGTTTGACGATTATTTTCACGGTTTGTCAACGTTTGTTCGTCCAACCTAGTCATACAATAAGCCATATCATTTTATAGTGTCCCGCAATAATATAGTCTCTGTGGACGCGCGCTGCACAATATAATCGATTTTTTGTCAAAACACGAGTTTATGGTAACGTTACCGATATATACATATTATGTTACAAAAGTAATAGCTTTTTTTCTGTTAGGATGATCGTGTTTTTTCAAATGCACGTCGGGTCGAAACACTTTATTTTTATTTGATATTGTGTACAGTAAATTTTAGAGCAAAAGGACGCAAAAATCGATCCTGTAATATTGCCGATCCCGCTGTGTGTATATATGTAATTTACATATAAACCATGTAGCCGAGTTTAAACTTTCTAAGTTTTAAACGTACGGAAAGTGTATTAAGCTCGAAATCCACACAATTTTCGAAGTACGTATATGATATTATATCATAATATATACATATTACACAAGTAATTATTGTGATTTGTTGTTGATTTCAAATAACTATGCATGTAAATACAAACATGACAAATATCTAATAATTTCTATGTGATTATTGTTATTATGTAAATTTATACGTGGACACGGAGTAGTTAAAAATTACAATAAATTGTAAAACACCTATTGTGTGATAATACATATTATGTTTGTATGTTCTTCTCACAAATTGCAGTATAAATCAGAAGAAAATTAAAATATTTTGAAAGTAAAAAATTAAATATGATTGTGATATTAATTGATTCAATAAATGTGTTTTTAACATGAAAGATTAGACTTTTAAAAAAAAATATTATATTTGGACCATCATAAAATATATACTATTTTATTAATTAAATGTCACATGAAAAATGTATTAATTTTTAAATGTTTCATTAAAATTACATTAAAATATTATGAATCACCAAATCACGTTTAAGAAGTTATTTTTTATTTCACTATTAATTCATTATATTTTTAATGATTGATTGTAAAATCCAAGATAATAGCATATAATAATATTAGTATCTATGTTAGATTAGCTAATAATAAGTAATAACTAAACGACAAGTAATAACTATAAGTATATACTTATGAATTATGATTTAAGCGTGTCATTGGCCAACAGTATTGCTTAATTTTTTTTTTTTATACCATTTTAACTTGCTTAATAATGATTTGTTTGTTTAACTTTTAGTTTTTTTTACAAAGAATTAATTTTTATACATATTGCTTATTAGACATAAATATTATTAGTCGACATTTGGAAAAAGAAATTAACGTGGTTTATGATAATTGTATGGTTTTATAGCAATAAACTAAAATTAAATGTCTCATTTTTTTTTTCAATTAAAGAAAAATGGGAATTTTTTCACAAACCTATTGAACTTGACAAAATAGATTTTGTTTATTTGTCATAAATCAAAAATATATAACCATAAATATAAGAAATCCCACTAAATGCCTATGTTTTTTACACATAGTATAATTTTCAAAATATTTTAACTATTTTTTTTTTTTTTGAATTATATTATAAGACATTTCAAATTTGAAAATTTTTTTTTTTTTTTTTTTTTTATAAATTTCGATAAAAAAATATCCTCTAGATTAAAGTTTTTGATCATATTATATAAGATCCTACGCAAATATTTCTGATGTCTATATAAAAATATCAAAAAAACTTGGCACCATTTTTTATATGCATTTTAAGTTCAAATTTTGACAAAAAAATTTATAAAATCAATTTTTATAATTAATAGGTATAAATTGATATGATAACCTAAGTTATTCATATTGAAAATAAAAATCTAAAAATCTAAAAATATAAAATCGCGATTATAATATATTATTTTTTAAGGATTGAAGTTTAAATTTGGACAAAATCGTAAATCTTAACGATAAATAACGGTATTAATTATAAGTTATAAATTATAATTCAAAAACATTATTTGTGGGAACTTAAAACTTTTACACACATTATTAATTTTACTATACATTTATATTAATTAATTTATAAAATATGTAGATTAATTTTAAAATTTTTCTTTTTCATAATTTTATATACTATGAACTTATTCACACTATTTTCAG